TTTGTAGTTCATTTCATGGTATGCTAGCAGTCATCCATCTCAGTTCATCTCAAATATACAAAACAAGAGCCTCATAACTCCAGGCCCTGGGGATGCGCCAGGCATAGGCTTCTCCTGGCGCACACCCAAATATGCGACCAACTAAAAAAAGAACATTACGCTTTTTAACAATTTACAACTTGGCAATCATCTTGTTGCCCTTCTGGAGCCATGCGACGGCGTCGTTTACAAATTCGTCCACGACTGCCTTGGCGGGCTTCTTGTCATTACACACAGCCGCGGCCTTACCCATGAGGAAGGGGCGGAACTGGTCGAGGGCATCGTCAATATCGACCTCGGCGGCGTTATCGTCGCTGCCGCTCTCGCCGCTGCCCTCACCATCGCCTGAGTTCATGAGCTTCTCAAGGTCGGCTTCGTAGGGAATGACACCCTTGGCGGTGAGCTCCTTGATTTCCTGCTGGCGCTCGGTCTCCCAGTTCTCAATGTACGGGTTCTTGCGTACGCGAAGGGGACGGCCGGTGAAGATGAGGGTCTTGATGTTGTCGTCGTGGCCGGCGGTGCGGACAGCTTCCTTGTGCGCCTCGGGGGCACCGGCCTCATCAGTGAGAATGAATCGGGTTCCAACCCAGACGGCACCAGCACCCATCATGAGGGCGGCGGCCAGAAGCTGGCCGTTGTGGATGCCACCGGCGGCGATGACCTGAACGGGGCCCTTGAGGAGAGGGCTCTTGGTGTTCTTGCAAAGGTCGACAACGGCAGGGATGAGGACGGTGGTGGGGACGTCACCGGTGTGGCCACCACCCTCACCACCCTGGGCGCAGATGATGTCGACGCCGAGGTCGAGGCACTTCTGGACGTGCTTGGGGTGTCCGATCATGTTCATGTAGACGATGCCGGCAGCGTGAAGTCTATCAACGACGTGCTTGGGAGGGACACCGACAGCAGAGACGAAGAGCTTGGCGCCCGACTCGATGATGATGTCAACGAGCTGGTCAAGCTTTCCCTTTGTGTAGTCGTAGCTAAAGAACAAGGAATTAGCCTCGGTTAAAGGTTGTAGATGCGGCACATGCCCGCGCGCCCTTCACTCCAGAAGACGTGTGGAGTTGAGCGGTTCGATGCTTACTTGGTCTTTCTCGCGCTGCCACCGACCTGGGGAAGAAGCAGATCAACACCGAAGGGGGCGTTCTTGTCAACCAGGTACTCCTTGAGCTCTGCGATCTGCTCCTTCAACATGTCCGGTGTGTATCCGACACCACCAATGACACCGAGACCGCCGGCGTTGGTGACAGCAGCAGCCAACTTGGGGCCGGCAGCGACGTTCATGCCGGCAAGCAGGATCGGGTGCTTGATCTTGAAAAGATCGGTGATGGGAGTGCGGATTTGCTCTGTTATCGCGGGAACGTGTCAGCAGTAGCTCTGAGGCGGACCATCTTGTCCCATGTGACAGGCAAGGTGCGGATAGCGGGATAGGTTACTTACGAGGTGACGCCATTGTGCCTGTGTTACTGGATGTGATAAATGCTAAAAAGATCTGGGTATATCGGGTCCTGAAGCTGTACAGACGAAGAAATTTGGCCTGGGAAGAAGAGTGGTAGATGAAAGGAAGAGCAACTAAATCTTGGGGGAGAGGTGAGATCTGGCAATCGGCGGTTTAAAGGGTTCCGGTGGTAGTAGCGCTCGGCATCAAAGGCACTTTTGGTTTCTGGGGAAGAAGGGGCGGAGTAGCGTTGCCATGCGCCCCTGCTGGGAGTCCTGGGCCGAGGTTCGCCTGTGACCTCAGCAACTAATCCTGTTTTGGCAAGGCGGGTCAGTCCAGCGGGGTGGATCTGGGGAACCTGAGAGATGCCGAGGGTCACTTACCACCCTCCAGCCCAGAAGCGGGACAATTTCACAAGGGCCACAGGAGCACAAGATACAGTACAGTTTGGTGTACCTTACATAAGCAGGGCAAAGCATAATTCGTTTATGCATCCCTCCCTCCACCCCGAAAGTGATTGATTCATCGATCGGACTCGGACCGGTGACCTCGGTCTGAGCTTTCCGTGTTCACATTTACTGTGAAAATGGAGTCGTTTTGCAAAGCCTCGTGGGGACTAAAGTAGGAGGCGTGTTTGACGTTTTACCCCTTTCTCTCTCTTACTCACTTTCGGACACGGTCGTTTTTTCCCATCTTGACATCGCACGGCGAATGCGACGGGTGAATTGAACAGTTGTGCTCTCTACTGAGTCTGACAGCGGGCCTGAGCACCGAGTCAACCAGGCGCTTTTATCCGTTCCAGAACGTTTGGAAATGAGCCCGCAAACTCTCTCTCGGCTCGAATCATGTCATGATCTAACCATTTTCCAACCTCGTTGCAACCACAAGCGGGCACTTCGGACTTTGGTTCTCTAGAAACACAGACGAGTGTCTGCACCTCTTTATCAATCTAGTATCCTAGACGACGACCCCCGTCTTCCTTACCCGCCTTGGAATAGCTTACTTCGCCTCAGGTCAGCCCATTCTACGGATACCTCACTTCGTACACTGATTTCCAGTCGAACCCCTCCAAAGCCACTTTACGCGCTTTTCCACGTCTTACCTAATCACTGGATTGTAAAGGGACCACCACGGTGCACACCCGACCCTCATTGGCTGCAAGAAAAGATTCTCTCCTTCTTAGTGACCCTCAACACACAAGACACACAAACCCATTGGATATTACCTTACTGGACTGTGGGCTTTTTGCCGTTGGCCTCCTTTTCTCCCTTCCGTCGTGATGAAACCCCCAAACCCCCTCCGTCACCAACCCTCCCTCTTTCCACGAGCTTGCGCCCTAGTACGGAGCAACAATGCGCGTCGCCAGTCCCTAACGCCGCGACTTGTCCGGTTCCAGCTCACGACGGCATCACCAGCAGCTGCAACATCCTGCATAGCCTCTTCCTCCTCGCGCACGTTCTGCACTTCTTCGTCACGGGGTAGTCCCTCCTCCTCCACCAACCCTGCCATCGCACTCCTCACCCGCTTCCGCCCCCGGTCAGCAGCAACCATGCCCTCCCGCCGGACCCCGTCGCCGGTCATGTCCGCCGGCGCCGCCCAGACTCGGTCGGCCTGTGGATGCGCCTGCAGCGGCGGCGGTGGATGCGGCAGCGGCGCCGCCAAACCTAAAGGTCCGAGCACGGCTTACATCGCGCTCGGCAGCAACCTCGGCGACCGCGTTGCCTGGATCGAGCAGGCCTGCGCCGAGATGGATCGCCGCGGCATCAAGGTGAAGCGCACCAGCAGCTTGTGGGAGACGGAGCCCATGTATGTGTTAGATCAGGATAGGTTCGTCAATGGAGTCTGTGAGGTTAGTGACACTCATTCTTTGAAATCTCTCCTTCACTCTGTCTCCGTTCATGAGCTCAGGGTTTTATGTGTGATATTCATGCACTTCTTGGAAGTGAAGCTATGCCAATTAACTTTTGACTGATCGGACGACATACAGGTCGAGACTGAACTCGAACCTTTGGCTCTTCTCGATGAACTCCAGGACATTGAGCGCACCCTGGGCCGTAAGAAGCTGATAGACAAGGGCCCCCGCAACATTGACCTCGACATTCTCATGTATGGTGATGAAAAGATTGAGCATCCTCGTCTCAACGTGCCTCACATCGGCATACCCGAGAGAGAATTCGTCCTGCGACCTCTGGCTGAGTCCGTCCTCTCTCAAACGTCCTCTCACATGACATGGCGACTAACACACTCCATCTCAGACTCATCCCAGAAAAGCCTCTCTACGCATCCAACCCCTGGAAACTCACCCTGGACTACCTCAACGAGCTTCCCCCCTCAGCGGCGCCCCTCTCACCACTCACCCCCATCTCCGCCTCTCACCCTCCCCTCGCCGCCCTCACCTCCAGCCGCCAAACCCACGTCATGGCCATCATCAACGCCACTCCCGACTCCTTCTCCGACGGCGGCGTCCACAACGCCCAAAACCTCGTCGCAACCCTCAAATCCTTCGCCGCCGCCGGCGTCACCATCGTCGACGTGGGCGGCTGCTCCACCGCCCCGGGACGGCCCGAAGTCCCCGCCGATGAGGAACTCGCCCGCGTCCTCCCCGTCATAAAGCTCGTCCGCGCCCTCCCCGAACTCGCCCACCTCGCCGTCAGCATCGACACCTACCGCGCCTCCGTCGCCGAGGCCGCCGTCGCCGCGGGCGCGGACATCATCAACGACGTGTCCGCGGGCCAGCTCGACCCGTCCATGATCCCCTACATGGCGCGCAGCAACCGCACCGTCTGCCTGATGCACATGCGCGGCACCCCCGCGACCATGAACTCGCTGACGGACTACCCCGACGGCCTGATCCCCACCATCGCCCGCGAGCTTCTCGAGCGCGTCGCCGAGGCCGAGGCCGCGGGCGTGCGCCGGTGGCGCATCATTCTCGACCCCGGGTTGGGCTTCGCCAAGACGGGGCCGCAGAACCTCGAGATTTTGCGCCACATGGACGAGTTGCGTTCCTGGCCGGGCCTGGAGGGGTTCCCCTGGCTGGTTGGGTCTAGCCGGAAGAGCTTCGTCGGCAAGTTCACTGGTGTGTCGAAGCCGCAGGAGCGGATTTGGGGCACGGCGGCCACGGTCGTCTCGGCTGTCCAGGGCGGTGCGGACATTGTCAGAGTTCACGATGCCGTTGAGATGTGCCAGATTGTCAAGATGGCGGACGCCATTTACAGACACTGAGCGACTTGATTTGCTTGGCAATAGAAGGATAATAAAATAGAATATGTACAACAAATGGGAATCAGCGATGGGTATAGACTTCCTGTATGATAAGATGGCAACAAAAGCTTTGGTTTCACGAGCCAACTTCTTCGACTTCATCTTCAGCTGAGCTTTGACTGAACAAACCACCTTGATTCACAGAGAAGGCCACGAATTCTTCCTGGACTATCTCGACCATCGTTGCAATAACAGTCAACATCCGCACTCTACTTAAACCGGTTCCGAGTATTGGCAGATACGCCCAAAATAGCCTGGCTACTCACCAGTACTCCTCCCTCGTACCAAGCTCACTGCTCCTAAAGATAGCATCCAACATACGATGCCTAATCAAAGCAACGTCAAAATCCGGCGCCTCCCCAGAACCCCCGACAAACGCCTCCCACGCCTTGCCCGTGTTATTCGAAAACCCCTTGACCTCATCCACTTCAACAACCTCCAGCACGGCACTCGGCTCAGCCTTGACGAACTTGATCGTGGGCGGGAATCCCTGGATATTCCCCATCGGAACCTCAGTCAGAAGCGTCCCCTTTGTCCCCGTAATTTCCCAAAAGAAATTCTTGTCAATCTGGCTCATACCGTCCTGGCAAACCGCAGTCGCAACCCCGCCGCCGGGAAGCCTCCCCACCACAGAGAGATGATCATGCGCCGTCTTCTCAATCTCACCTTTCGGCTTCCCCTCGCTGTCAGTGATAACCACCCGTGGCCGATTATTCACCAACGTAGCCTAAACTCCCCTCAACTCCCCAACACAAAACACAGCGCGTCCGGCGCGTGGCCCGCCGAGATGGACACTAGATTAGCGCCAATCTCGATATCGGCGCCGTACCCCGCCGCCTCGGGCATCGTAGGCCCCAACCAAGGGCTCATGAACAATATCGTGATCTGCAGCATATCCCCCAATGCCCCGCGTTCCACGAGTTCCTTGGCTTTAAGGGTAGCAGGGTCCTGATGCCCTTGTAACCCCACTAAGGTCCTGACTCCCTTTTCTCTAGCCAGGGACGTCAGGCGCTCTGCCTCGATGCTGTTCTGCACCAGGGGCCACTCGCAGAAGACGGCGCTTTTCCCGGCGCGGATGGCGGCTTCGACGGCGGCGGCGGCGTGGAGGTGGACTCTTATGGTTACGGCTACGAGGTCAACGTCTGGGTCGGAGACGAGGGCGTTGATGTTGCCGTAGGCTTTGGTGTCTTGCGGAAAGTTGTGGAGACGGATTGCCTTTTGTGCTGTTTCTTTGGAGCTGTTTTGGAGGGCTGCGAAGTTGTAGTGTTTGGAGTTGATGAAGTAGGTGAGGTGAGCGGCGACGGCCCAGGACCACTCGCTATCCTCGTTGTTAGTATCTGTGAGTTTCAAAGGAATGACAAGCGTGGCTGCTAAGGTACGTACGGTCGGGAGGATAGGCCGATGAAGCCGACGTTGGTCACTTGAGGGGACATTTTGGAAGATGGGATGTCGCTGTTGGAGTGATTGAGATGCTAGAATGGGATGTTGGACGGATTGAATGAACTACAGAGAGAAGTGTCTAAGAGCGATTCGTCTTGATATATGTACTACATCTTGAGATGTATGCCACGATTTTTCCATTCATCGCGAGAATCTCCATTCTCGTTTTCGCGGATTTCGTCAGCTAACAAACACTGATCAACGTTACCATTATGCAGTCTGTTTTCGTGGGTAAATTTGTCATCTTAAATTGTTGGTTTAGACCGTAGACCATCCGCCGGGCTTAGTCAAAAGCTAATATAAAAGTCCGCCAACTCATCCGCCATCTCGAATTTGGTTCAAAACAGAGTCGGTTCGATTGCTGTTGTATCCCAGAAGCGCAAAGTCAGCCAAGATGATATCAAAATTGCCATTGCGTTATAAAAAGTTTACACACCCGGAAGTGGGCATCACGGGTGCGACATGTTTATCTCAATCCGATTAGTCACTTGTTATTCAAAACTTGAGAGATCATAACGTATTACTTGCCCCTAACTTGGGAAATGTCAGCTCAGATCGGAAACAGGTGTTCTCTGTGCGATAAATCCGAAGTGAGGAGCAGGGCCCATCTGTTGCAAGGCAAGTCAACCCAGCTGCTAGACCAAGATCCAGAGCAGGTGCAATGGATCCCATCACGTTATCCGTCGACGGGCAAACAAGAGAAGGTTTCCAATCGGTGCTTAAGGAGACTGAAAAGGGCAATCATGTCTCGCAGAATACCTACCTATTCCAGGTATTTTGAAGCCCCTGATCGAGCCTTTGGTAATCGAAATATCCAGTGTCATCCCTTGAAAGGTGGAGGCATCTGGTTCCCAACCTTTGGGAGAGGAGAAATATAGAGTCGTGCGTGATTTGTTGCTGTGGGAGATAGTCGTTGTCACTATGAATAAGTTGGTACACACAATTTGAGTAAGCATAATTCCTCAACAGCCTAGGCAAAAGAGTTCACCCCCCCGGTGCTGAACTGGGGGCTACATCTCTGGCGCTCATACTGGGAAATTTCTGGTGCTCATGCTGGGTTTCGAACTCGGGTACTCGCTAAGCCTGTCGTCGAGTAGGCTGGTTGGCGTATAAATTGATTGTTGACCATGAACCATTCCACCACCCACGCCACAGTTTGACCTGACCCCCGACCTAGAGGGCGTCTGCTGTGCTGGTGACGGAAACGGGGTCGAGGGGGTATATGAGGCCTTGTGCGTGGGTGTTCTGGCTGAGTATTCCGTGAGTATTCTACATGAGTATTTGACACGAGTATGCTTACCTACATTAAGAAATTTGCCCATAGGGCGCTTTGAGTGCTATTGCCAGATGTGTTGCAGTGACGAGAGACCTTCAGCACTCGCCCAATCCTTTGACCCAGCCTGTGTAAGTATGAGATGCAGTATCATGCCGATCTGTCAGACTATTTTCAGGGTGGTCAATGTCAGAGATTATTCGTGTCATAGCAATAACGACCACTATTCAACTCGAATATTTTGTATGAGTGTAGTGTATTGGGACTAATGTGGTTGTTCTACACTACTCCAGTATTGTCTGTCCCAAGTATCGCATCGAACTGTTTTTGTCGACGCCGCAGACTGTTTGTTTGCCTGCCTACAAGAATGAGATACTAGCCATACACGATCTCATTCTGCTGAAACCGAACTGATGTGGATGCTATCGCCCACCAAGGCCCGAAGGCTCAAGGACATCCTATTACTGTCCCCCACAAATTAGAGAGACTACCCATACACATTTCCACAACGCCGAAAGCCTAAGCCAGTATGCCAGGGTATCTTAACTCCCAAGGTCCTTAGACCTCAATGTCCTTTTCAAATCACCCAAGTCTCCGAAGGCATCAAAAGTCATGTGCTCCATTGTCAGTCGGAGAAGGCGCCAGTCCGCCAAGGTTCCTTTCCCATAACCCAACACCTCTCCCAGGCTGCAAGAGACACGAGCTCTACCGTTCAGCCTGAGGTGTGTGTGTGTGTGTGTGTGTGTGCGTGCCCCTTAACGGAAGCCCAACTGCTCCACATCCTTGCACTCAGCGGCGCCATATTCGTTATGGGTAGCCTCGTACCAGGCGGCTTGGACCATGCCGACGTTGCAGAAGGTGGAGGCGACGAAGTGCCAGATCAGTTCGCCCTTGTCGGTGCCCGCGCGGCAGGAAGCGTCCGAGGCGGCGAAGCAGCCACTGAAGCGTCTGAGGTTGCGCCAGAGATCGCCGCAGACCTTGGGGGCGTCGTCGACTCCCGAGTAGGCCTTGAGCGAGTAGGCGTGGAGGACGCGGCGTTTCATCTCCTGGTGCTGACAGAGTGCGCCCCCGTGCTGGTTGAAGTCGTCGACTGAGGAGTCGGGGGCTTCGGGGGTTGCGATGTCTGTGTTGTTGACCTTGCCGTCGCCCTCTTTGATGGTGGGGACGCCTGCGTCGACCTTGCCGTCGCCCTCTTTTGTGATGGGGGGGACTGGTTTGGCCTTGGGGACATACTGTAGAGGGACGGCCTTGTCTGTGTTGATCACACCGGCACCCTCTGGGATGAAGGCCTTGTCTTTTTCGCCAGCGCCAACATACTTGACGAGGTTGGGGATGCCTTCACTGACGACAGGCTTGTCTCGGCGGACGTTGCCAGCAGGAGCAGCGTCAGCGCCGAAGAAGACTGCGACAGCGAGAACGATGAGGGTAGCAGAGAACTGCATCTTGACGATTGAAGTTGGGTTGCTTGTGTATGTGTAATTGGGTTGCAAGTTGGTTGGGTAGTTGTATGTAAGTGGTTGAGTTGACTTCTTGACAAGATGCAGTGATGAGAGTGGTATGTAAGATGGCTGGAGGATGAATAGAAAAGAGAAATTGTAGGAGGAAAAAGGCCAGAACTTATAGGTTTCTGGAAGATCGAGGCCGTTACGTTGTCTGCATTCGCGAATCTATTCCGACTCTTCGTGCCCTAACGTGCTCAACCTAAGGCTCAACCTGTGGGATTGATGGATGCCAAAGGAGGTTTTTTCACCTTGTGAGCATGTTCCTGGGCGGCCCGTTGCACCAAAATTTCGGCATCAAGGTTGAGAGCCATGGCCTCCGTTCGGAATAAACACGACTGTTAGAAACCTTGACGGAAGGTTAACCAGCGGTGCGGGTATGTCTGTAAGCCTTGAGGATGTAAGGCCAAGGGCCCTTTCTCCGGTCTCTATTGAAATCTATCGGAGTCAAGCCCATAGTTTCAACGGAGATTGCCACAAGACTGGAGAGGCGTCTGGTCCAGATTTCTGGCTAGCCTGAAAAGGCCTCGCTGAGCATAAAGGTATGAGCAGCAGAAAAGCTTAGCCATAGCAGTTGAGGGTATACGGCTTCATAGGAATGGACAGAACGAACGTTGGCTATCTCCTCGCGTAAACAAACTTTCTGGCAGCGGTTTGTAATGAGCCACACAATTATCCACAAACTCCTTGCTACTCAGAATATACCAGGTAGAGCGAGTAACCAGGTAGATTGATACATCGCAGCTCCAGGCTCGGAGAACCAATGGCTTCATCTGTTACTTGGCCCAGAAGGTCTACCACGATATACTTGAAAGCAGTGGGTTTGAGATGGGGTGTACAATGGCTAGAACTTGATACATCACTACAACATCAGACACAATTTTCAATAGAACAACGCTGGTAGTTTCAACGACGTGGGAGACATCTCGTAGGTGGTTGTGCAGCCATTCGCTGACCGTTACGCATGATGGTGTTAAAGCCTCAAATTCCTATTTTTGACCGATAACATCAAAAGCAGGGTAAAACTCAGGAACTCTATATATAATACTCAGGAGACGAATCCACCTACCATTCTCTTGATGCTCACAGGTACGTCGCTCTCGCCACTCTATGCAGGTCTAGTTTGCGTCGGGAGCAGCGTCCCACGGCAGTTCCGATATTGACGTTACCATTGTAGTTCTGGGCATAATCTTACGATTACAAACACCCTAACAATAGAATTCTATAGAGATAGTAGTCGAATCCATCAGCTCTTGACTTATACACCGTCGTTCCCGAACTAGGCATCTTATGAAAGCCAAAACTCATTGCCAGGCTTGACAGAAACAAGACGAGCCCTGATATCGGCCGATCGATTTCCGCATATAGTTGAAGAACCACCATCCTATCTTCGTAAGAAAGAATGACACCCGAAATAACGAGTGAAGGAAGAGGTTCGGTGAAGGGTGTTGGTGAAGATGGACACGCCAGTGTACACGACCATCATCAAGGAAATAGAGCTTGCTGTGATCGGAGGCCATAGCATCCTACAAAACCATAGGTGATCTTCTTAGGTCAGAGCCGGAACTCTTGAGGCATGGTCTGCGGCGGACGCACCTCTAGCCCGGGCGGTCACAATTGCGGCTCCGGATTTCGGGGAGTGGGTCTGTCCAGCGCCGAGAAAGACGCCGCAGAAGCCCGGCCGGCCACTCGACCCATGCCCAGCCTTCTCGAGAGCCTGCGCGGTGTTCGACCCAAGTCTCATACTTAGACAACCGGATATGAACCCTTGCTTCCGTTGCTTACATCATGTGCAAGTGCAACAACTCGAGGAGCGCTTCATCCTTCTATTCACATGCCTTTCGGTGATATTATAGAGTGTTGCGACCAGTGAAAGAACTGCTGTGACTTTACTTCAATTCACGCCCGCCGTCTAGCTGGAAAGGCGCAACGAGATTTTCCAAGACTGAATGGCCAGCATTCAGTTTTATTTCGCGGCTTCGTATCGCTGAAGCAGGAACAGGAGAGGTTTGGAAGTCAGGACCCCCCCCCCCCCCTCCGGTGAGGCCTACCCTGACAGATGAAACAACTGATGCCCCTGACAGACGTCCCCTCAACCACAAGGCTGGGAAGGAATTTTTCTTTATATCTAAAACTCGTTTTCCATTTCATTATCAAACGACAAAAACTCATAGAACATTCTGACAGATATTGGTGGATTCATACCCATTTCACTTATGTT